ATTTTCTATTTTTTGGTGATTTTGTCAAGAGACTTTATCTGACATATATTCATTCTAAATCTTCTCTTACAATACCTCACTACCACCATCATTTAAATCAGTTGCTTACAGTTCAAAATTTTGACAAATATTCTGTTTATTTTTATTTTGATTGATTAATTTTTTTAACTTAAATTATTCGTTATTTTCCCATCCATTTAGAAATGAACTAGACACAATTTTTATTTATTTAAATAACATTTTGTCATTTTCTAAGTAAATAGTAGCATAGAGAACTCCAGTTCTAAATAAAGTTTATCTCTGAATAACAAGAACTTATTAAATAAATCAATTTCTTGGGAGGTAAGCATTTATAACTGTATGTTCATGTACAGTTAGAATTGTCATGTGTTTTATAGTTTATATATCAAATTTATTTATATAGTTCATGATTTTACCGTTTAGTCTTTGCGCATGAATCTATTTTTAAAGCACGGAATTTATTTTTGTTGTCGGAATTGTTATAATCATGAAATGAATGGAACTTTTAAAATTATTAAAAAAAACTTAGATTTCTTAATAACTTTGTTTTCATTTATAAATTAAATGTCACTTTTAATTTTATAAAAAAATTACATATAATTTAATAAACAAATTTTTTGTATTGATAATTTATATCCTACTACAAAAAATTAACACCAATTTACATTTTAATCAATTAAGAGTTTCATGAATAAAATACATATGATTTTATTAAACTCAATAATAAAATCTCCGATTAAAAATATTTTTAGGAATTGGATAATTTGTTAAATTTAATTTATTGTATAAATGCAATAAGTGTACTTTATGTAGATTTATTTACTTTGCTTTTGTCAAAATAATATAGGATTTTTAAAGAAATTTTGTTCTAATTAACCCTTAATTTGGTATTTCTGACAAATATTTTTTCAAAATTAAAAGAACTAGTTTTTTAAAATTTTAATATTGAAACTATAAGGACTGCTGAACGAGGTAGAATATGAGACTTCTTTGTGTTTACTTTTTTATTTCTTTGTGTAAATTTATGTCAAGTTTTTGAGGTTTTAAAAATGGACCAAATGATCCTAGAAAACCGAAATATCTCATCTGGTCTGTTTCTTTTCTTAAAAATAATAAAAAGATAAATATAAAACTATATTTTTAAGACACTGAGGGGAATTATAAATCGACTATGTCAACCTTCATCTATCAAAAGGTATCTCAAGATCATCAAAGAAACAGCGCAATTTTGATCTTCCCCGGCTTTGGTAGTCCGACGAGCTGCACGCGAATCGACCACCCGCTTACTGACCGCAGTTTTGGGGAACAAAATCCTCTCCGAAATTATATACGAGGGTTGTAAATTAAATAGTGGCAACTTAACCTTTAAATTCACAAAAGGACGGGCATTCGCAAATTAGATATGGGAGCTGTGGCTGTTGTCGATGTGTAGAGTGCAAAAAAAAAGTCGATTAGCTTAGAAGAGTAGTTGTTGTGTGGCGTTAAGGTGAGGAGTTTCGTTTCCATCGCTCTAAAGCATGTTTTCAAAAGGTGATCAGCGGTCGTGGCTTACAATCGAGGTTGCCCGTGGCAAAAATGCAACAGAATGCTATCGAGGATTAGTGGAAGCCTTTGGAGCAAATGCTTTACCATATAGGACAGTAGCACGATGGATTCAAGCATCTCGTCTTTTTTCGTCATTAAGCCTTTTCACAACATGCTTTAGAGCGATGGAAACGAAACTCCTCACTTTGACGCCACGCAACAACTACCCTTCTAAGCAAATCGACTGTTTTTTGCACTCTACACATCGACAACAGCGCCACCTCACCGCACCCATACCCTATTTACGCATGCGCACCCTTTTGTGAGTTTCAAGGTTAAGTTGCCACTATTTAATTTACAACCCTCGTATATTACTTGATTAATTAACTATTGTGCGGTAAGCGGGGTATAAACGTAAGAAAATTATCATTATTCAGTTTTTTGTAGTTAAAACGTTTAGAATATATACATTAGGAGATGGGGCCAGGACACTGAACTCAGTTTCGTGAGTTCTCATCCAGCTGGCCGAAAACTCCCCGCGTAGTAAATGGTGGCTGGTGCACGTTGAATCCGCCCGGTCATAAAGTCCTTCATGTTACCATAACAAGTTATACCTCTGGAGATACTGAATTGGAGATGGATCGTTCTCTGGTTCAGGTAAAAATTACAATTTGTGGAAGAATAAATGGATCAGGGCTAGATTTTACCCGTCTCCGAGGACGGCTTGTCCAACAATGTACCCGTCCTCCTTTGAAAGTAACCCGTAGCTTCTAAGTAAATAAGAATATAATTTTCTCTTATTTATTAAAAACATTAAATAAATTGTACAATGAACTAGTAGTTACTAGGATTACATTATACAGTAATAAAAGAAATACTAGGTTACTAATAGTATCTTAGTTTCTTTTATGAAATAATTTATTTCTTCTATAAATAAAATGGCCGTCCACGCAGACGTCGGATTCGAGAAATTCGTTGTCCGCGGGGAATTTTTGACGGGCGGTTTTTCGAGCCTGAAATGGATGCATTAATAGGTTCGCCTTATAAACAGGTGTGACAGAAGTCGAATTCTTGGCCATAGATGGCGCCATTTGAAGACTCACACCATTAATGGCCGACGACGACAACAGAAGGAGATAACATTGTATCTACGCACTTCGGTGTTCTTCTGGGAACTCACTGAGAGTGAAGTTATGTAAGTGGTGAGCAAGTTCTATAAATGAGTGCAAAGATTTCTCTGTTGTTCATTTACGTCGCACTAGAGCTGCACAATGGGCTATTGGCGACGGTCTGGGAAACATCCCTGAGGATGATCCGAAGACATGCCATCACAATTTTGATCCTCTGCAGAGGGGATGGCACCCCCGCTTCGGTAGCCCGACGACCTGCATGCGAAGACGAGCACTTTACGATAGAACAGTTTAACGAGGACCCATACCACACACTGACCGTAGCCAGTGATGCTTGACTTCGGTGATCTGCTGGGAACCGTGTCTTAACGATCAGTCCACTGCGGGACAAAGATTTTTCTGATGTGTGACATAAGTTCCAGAAATTCATGAAAAATAACGGAACCAAAATTTTAAACAATGAACAATGGGAAATGATATCAAATTTATTATGTTGATGAATGTATGGATTCCCTTGAGTGATCTACTATAGTATAGCTATACTAGTTTTAATTGCCTGAAAAACTTGAATAAGGTACAGCTTAATATACTTTAAAAAAAATAATGCATTGCTGCCAACATGGATAGGAAAAAATTAAGTAGATTTTACGAAATAATATAAATTTCATGATAATTGTTGCATAATGTACTACATATTTTACACAAAGGGAATCTTAAGGATTTTTATATTCATCAAAATAGAAAAACTGCAATATTTTTCCAGTCATGATTGACATTAACAGGGGTTTGACTAGGTTTTTCTGAGAGGCACCTATTTTGTGAAAATTTAAGACATAATTGGTACTAAAAAATTATATTAGAAAATCAACCCAAAATCATGGATTTATCGTTTCTAACGGGATACCAAAATAACATTTTAAGAAAAAGTATTTTGTGAAACTACCGTTTTTCCTAAAGTTGAATGGGTGAAGGTACCGCTAAACGGTAGTAAATTTGGCCTGGACAGACCCCTGCAAACACACTTGAAACTAATTATGTTTACTCATAATGTCGAGTAAATAGGCATTCAATTCTTCAAAAATAGAAGATTTTTTAAATTAATTAAAAAAGAGAGCTCTGAATAAAAATAAACTTAACATTTTATAACAAAAAAAAAAGCTTTGAACCGATTTCTATAAATGAGGTTCGCTTCATTATGTATTATTAATACTTATTTAAATATTCAAGCAATAATCTGTACAAGAATTCTACTTCAATAGGAATTTTTTTCAGAAAACTTACTCAATTTTAAGGAATTTTCTAAAATGTACAAAAACCAGGAGAATTTTAATTAAACAAATAGACCAGGAGACTGGCAAAATCCAAGAGTTGGCAGCTATTTAGTTATATGATTTTAATTTCAGAAAACAAGATTGTAAAAATAGTTCTAAAAAAATGTCAATGATACAAATTAGAAAGAAGAAAAACGAAATATCTAATAATATTCATCAAAAGATTTTTTAATTAATTTAAAAAGAGAGTTCTGGATAAACTAAACACTTTAGAAAAAAAAGTGGTTCGCTTCATTATGATGTTTTCAGGGGACCCCAAAAAATCCCCCGAAACTTTTATGGACTTACTACCGACATTTTGGAGTTTCGAGAAGGGGGGGGGGAGAAATGAAAAATTACAATTATGAAGTATTGAATGACCTAATTATAAAAGTTCAATGAATTACTTTTTTTGCAAAATTAATAACCATAAATTTTCAAACATATAAACTACTACATTTTATGTAAATATTTTAAATTACCTGAATGAATTAATTCAGGTAAAAAATTATCTAATTTCTGCTGCTTTTTTTTATTTTCTGATGTTTGTGGGCTTGTCTTTCTTTTGTGGTGAACTTCATAATTGCAGGGAGGTTGACTTATATTTTCCTCATTTACAGTTGAAGAAATTTCCTCGAGAAGCAGTTTGCTTTTCTGCTAATGTAGAAGGTTTCTCAGAGACTTTTATAGGTGACTCATCTGAAGTACATGTTTTTAAGTCCTCTTGATATGTTTTCCGGAATTTCCAGGTATCAAAGTTCAGAATCCCCGGAATTCCGGGGTTTCCCCGGAGCACAAACACCCCTGTGTTTTAGTAATACTTTTTTAAATATTTCAGCAATAATCTGTACAAATATTCTATTTCACTAGGGATTTTTTTAGGAAACTTATTTAATTTCAAAGAATTTTCCAAGTTGTACAAAAACCAGAAGAAAAACTGACAAAATTCAGTAGTCTACTCAATGCCACGCATCTCACAACCATAGCCTGAATGAAACAAAGGCAACACACAAAATAAATTATCACTTTTTGTTTTTATTAAATAAAAGTTAGTTATACAAATTAAGACAAATAACCATTCTTATGAAAATATACATATATATATATTTTTATAATTACAAATGATGCTTCTTAAAAAGCTTTACTACAGCAGCATGCAGCCACCCTTTCGACTCTGATGGTAAAGTGTGATTTTTTTTCTTCCTATTATAATAAAATAGTTCTTCTGATATTTATAGGTGTGTATGTGACCATGAAAATAAAATAAAAAGTCCATTTATTTTATGCTGAAATTAAATAAATAGGAGAGCTGTCGTTCATTAAATAAATATATGTGTACAAGCTATCTGGACCAAAGTACCCGGACATACGGTAGTTAGGGTGGTGGAAGCATTATGGCGGGGGGAAGAGTGTTACTCTTGGTCTTCTCAGAGCCCCGACCCCATAGAACATCTTTGGGACGAATGCAGATTAGGCAGCCATCCTCGCTGCAAGCTTCAGTTGCGATGGAAGTTCTATCGAAAATGGGTGGAAATTGTCCATGCAAAAGGGTGACAGACATCCTATTAATAGGTGCCTCGTGATGCTTTAAGTCCATAACCACAGGGTGTTCGGACACTTTTGTTCAGATAGTGTATTCCTAATTGCAAACAAAAAGTAAAGCTGTGTTCTCACAAATTTACATAATACATATACGGAAATAACGCACACATACAGGCTTTGTAAAATAAAGGACACTTTTCTTACAAACAAAATTTCATCATTCCTTTAAATCAAAAAAAAATTGTTTCTTTCAATTAATGAACCAGATTGCAAACGTTTATCAGATTGTGTTTATGTAAACGTAACACAAAAGCTATATCAGGGTTGGCCACTCAAATCTGTGGGGAAAAAATTCCCTGTGTTTTCCCTGTATATATTATACACACTATATTAAGAGGAAACTCAACAATGACTGTGCACTTGTGTGAGCTACAGTAGGCAAACTATATTTATTAGTTTTAATTGCTGGAGGAAAAACAGCTAAGCATACTTAAATAATGCTATAGTAAATGAAACAATTTAGTATAGCTGAAATATCATGGTTAAATATCCTACAGATGATGCTTAGTGTGGTCACCATTTTTTAAAAGGCAAAAGTAAGAAACAAAATTATCTGCATTTTCCTTGTTATTTTAGGTGATTTTGAAATGCCCAGTATTTTCCAGGTTTTCCCCATTCTCTTTGTGGAGTGGCAACCCTGTATATGCTGAAAACTCAAATAACATTCATTTAACCCTATAAAAATGACAATGATTGAATGTAGGGTTTAGTGGCGCAAGGTCCAGATAAAAACATGCATAAAAATGACAATGATTTTTTTCAAATAGTTTAGTTCATCTATTTTTCAAGCACTAACCCAGCAAAAAAAAAAAATTTAGGGTTGCCACTAAAATAAAAAATCCCCGTGTTTTCCCTGTACATATTATACACAATATATTAAGAGGAATAACACAATCACTGTTCTCTTGTATGAACTGCATTGGGTTAACTATACTAGTTATAATTGCTGGAAAAACTTTTTTAAAAAAAAGGAACAGCTGAACATACTTCAATAATGCTATAATAAATGAAGTATTTTCCAGTATAACTGAAATATCCTACACATTGCGCTCAGAGTGGTCGCCATTTTTTAAAAGATGAAAATAAGAAATAAATTTTCTTGTATTTTCCGAGTTCGCATGGAAAAACTCAAAATTCCCAGTTATTTTTTGATTCCCTGTATTTTCTGGGTTCTCCCTACAGAGTGGCTAACCCTGAAAGTATCTATTTCAGAGAAGCAAGAAAATATAAACCAATAAACACTGCAAAAGAAAAAAGAGAGACATTCAAAGATGACTACAGACAATCTGTATTTCAGAAATTTGATTTTTAAAAAATGAGTGAATTTTAATCTGTAGAGAAAGCACAAGTTGGGCGCAGCAAAAACCTAAATTTCTACTGGGAAGAAGTTCATTTTTCTCACAAATAATTTATCAAATATTCAGTTTCCAGAGAGAAATGCTATTTCGACAATAGCTAATGTGTCCATATACATTATATACTTTCTTTTTTTTAAAAAAAACGAGTCCCACTAAAAAGCCTAATGCTACCGAGGTTGAAGAAATCCTTTACTTCCGTCCGGCCCTCGCGGCAGGCGTGTTACTATGATTTCGGCTTCGATCCGTCTATCCATTGATGCTGGCACGGCATTTGGGTTACTGGAAAGAAAAACACATTTTTATGATTTAAAACTAAACAAAACCAACACTTAATAAATACTTATTTCTACCATAGCCGATCAAATGGACTGGACTTCATGTTTCATGGTTGAATGTATGTAATATGGATGTTAAGAGGGAAATAAACTAAAAAAAACTTTATTATAATTAAACAAATTTGTATATTGTCAATTTTTATGTATCACAAACACAAAGAATAAAAAGTTTTAATTTATTGTACAACACATTTTCATCCATTGTACATTTTCCACAAACATATTTCTTCTAATTATTATTATCTCTGCAATTATAAGAATTTATAAGAATTATAATTCTTATAATTAATATTATTTCGTCTAAGAACTTGTGCTGTTTTGAAATTTTTCTGAGTAAAAACTAACAGTTAGTTAGAAATGAAGTAAAGCTATCCAAATAAAATATAAGCTTCTTACCAAAACAATTTGTTTTTGTCACTTTTTCTCACACAAAAATGCCAATCTAAACTTTTAGGTACTTTCTTGACATTTGAATTTACAGTCATTCTGATTGAGCTAACTACGCTAGTCTTTGCAGAAATGTGCAACTCATCGAATGCAATACGGTGAACACGCATTACATTGTCATTTCTGATCCGATAACCTTATAAAGCAGTGATTTGTTCTCCCGGTCAAATGACCAGTCGTGATAGAAATAGGTATACGACACATATTATTCGTAATAAACAAAATACGAAAAATAATAATGGAATACAACCTGTTAGAAAAAGTAACGAAATCAAATGTGTAAAAACGATACGATGCTAAGAGCATTTTCGATGCAAAAGGTCTTAAAAGGTCATTTGCCCGTCAAGGTAGGTGTTATGTTAAATAAACGTCTGACTTTAGAACTCAGGTTAATTCAAAATGAATATAGGGATTACAAACAGATTTAACGACAAAGAATTCATGGATAAGATTAACACAGAATGTAGATGGAACATTTCTTTACGCAAGGAATCCTGCGTGTGTGTGATGGTTCATTAGTGAAAATGGTGAGTTCCATGCAATGTTATGCATGTACTGTGCGTGTTAGAATTTAACAACTGCCATGCTGCTATAACAGTGCAGGAAAGGTTGTGTCAAACAAGAACAGAATGCATAGCCAAATTATGCATCAAAAAATAAGCACTTTTCAAGCAGTCAAAAAAAATTTTTAAGCACTTAAAAAAATATCATAATTAGGCAGGGTTGGAAAGTTTTTGACCATTGACGGCTTTATCTTGTTTTAACAGTCGCGTCGAAAGAAAAAACTTTTGGCATTGTTTTTGACAATTGTCAAAAATCATTACATTTTGAATCATATTAAACAAATGGCGTTTTCATACGCTACGGACTGACAATACGCCAAAATAGATTGTGGTTGAATTAATTGTGAAAACATTGAATAGAACAATGTGAATTGCTTTTTTTCTTCCATAATTCATAGCGAAAATCATCATGGTAAAGGAAAAATCTCATTCTGAAAAAAGGGAAAATTAAGCACTTTTTAAAAACACCCACTGTAAAAAGCACCTTTAAGAGCTTTTAAAAATCGAAAATAAGCACCTTTAAAAAATGCTACGCACCCTGAAGAACCTCCAAATGGGAACCAGGGTTCCAGCTCAATCGTGATAAAATAATTAGTTTCTGACAAAGACCTCTTTTCTTGATTATATTACACACTATAAAAAGATCGAGATTTTTCAGTTCGATTTCAGAGGGTGGAAAATGAAGCCTGATATTGAGAATATTTTGCAAAATGCAGCAGAGTTGCATATGAAAGTGCATTCATCTCACCGAACCCAACTCAGTAGACACACATGCACACTCCCAAGTATTGAATTGTGAAAACGTTGAATAGAACAATGTGAAAACCACGCTTTTGCATAATACAGTGAAAATTGACATGGTAGAGAAGAAAAAAATCTCATTTTCGAAAAGGAAGCTGTTTAAAAACACCCCATGAAAAAAGCACCTTCTAAAAAAGCTACGCACCATGTACTCATTAGGAATTTACGCAGTACTAAATGTAAAACATTCATGTACCAATTAAAATATCAAGATGTTAGAGTGACGATACATCGTGATGCCAAAATCTTAACATCGCTCAATCCCAGTTTTTAATTTATTCGTTCCTGCATTGCCTGATTTTACCAATATCTGGTTATTCAATGAAAAAGTGCCCTTACTGTTTTAAGTTCTACTATAGTTCATTAGTCAACAATTTTACCATGGCCCCAGTTCGGTTTAACATTTGCTTCATATGGGTCCTATATTAGCCAATATAGAACTAATCTTAGCTAAAAAATGTCAGGAGAATCTGACAATTCTATATAGGATCGATATCGGTTGTAAAATATCGAGTGAATTGGACATTTCCATATAGGGTTAATATCGGAAATAGAAAGAATCTTCGAACCCTTACTCCCTGTGACGAAATTTTTTTGGGCTTTCTGCGACAAACTTCCTTGGCACTAATATCTTGCTTTAAGATATTTTTAATTATAACAATTACTAATTTAAAGTAACAGAAACGTTGTGTATACAGAAGAAAGTATAGAATAAAAAATTTAAAAGTAATATTTCTTAATTCTAACATTATAGTCTATATTCTTGCATTTGGTAGGCGAAAAAATGCAATTTCAAGTTTTGTAAATCATTACAAAAATTAAAAATCATAAAATCCGTGCAGAACTCCTAAAATAAAGATCATGAATCACTCGAAAAGGGCACTTTAAAAAAGAGATACTCAAATAAGTAAATGCAAAATATGGTGTTCTTTAAAGAAAAGAAAAATGAGAGAAAGAACATTTCATCGGGGCAAATATGTATTCATTTATATATTTCATTTGGGGCATTTTTAACACTGAGAAGCAATTCTCACCTAGGTTCTTCTTCGCTGCTGGCTGATCCCAAAATCCTGAGTCTAGCCTCAGCATATTCTGCCTCCCTCTGCTTGAGTGTCTTGAGGGGTTGCCTTGAGGGTGATTTCTCTACCACCACTCTTGAAGATTTAGCATCGTTAGTTGGACGTTTGAGTATCTTCACTTGTGGAACATAAGGAGTTCGGGAATTCTCCTCCTCCAGTCTCATCTGAGAGTATTCACTTGTATTGGAATCTAAAACTGAACTGAGAACAATATTATTATTATGGATAGAAAAATAAATAAGAGTAGATTTTTACAAGGGGTGATTGTGGCAAAGAGTGAAAATCCCTGTAAATTTTATGAGCAAAAAATTAGCATCTATTTATATATTATACACAGGGTATCAGCTACATTTTAGATCTTCAAATTCATGACTTAACTAATTTACTATTTTCTCCGACAATAACACAACAATACATTTAATAAAGCCTTATAATGACATAAATTGAAATTATACGTTTAACCAGAACTGTCATACTCTGCATCTTCATATTTACTGATTTTAAATTTAATAAACAGAGGAAAGAAAGAGTTGAAGCAATAAAATAGCTGAACAAAAATACAAAAGCAAATTTTCTTTTCTTTTCTTCTGCAGAATTATATTCTAAAGATACTTTTCTTGTTCATTGGAAAGGGAAGAAACACTCCTGATTTTTCTGTTCTCATTTCAGAATTAAAAAAATTCGCCAATGACTGGCTTGCTTCAGTTAGAATTTTAAATTGATAGAATAAAAATTATAAATTACAAAAATTCGGAAATCACAGGATAATTCGCTCCAGAAATGTTTTTCGTTCATTCTTTGAAAGAACACGATAAAAACATTTCATATTTTAATAAAATATGACTGTGAGTGGGGATTTTGTTACTAATTCAGATATTCGGAACACCATCAAATTGGGGGGGGAGGTAAATTCCATTTTAAGAATTAGATTTTTCAGCGACCTAAATCCATAACTTTCCATGAGTTTTTTTTTTAAATCATGACAAATTTTGTTCAATACCAAAATTCATGACTTTCCAGGTCCGCAGATACCCTGCATACATGTTTAATATTGAACTCAACTTTTTGAACTAACACTTATAATTATATTATCTACTAATGCAGTATATCACACCTTTAGAGTAATTAATTAAAAAAAAACTTACTTCTTACAAGATTCGCGATATTGGATTTTAAAATAGCATGAATAATGAATAGCGATATCGGATTTTAAAAAAAGCGAAAACATAAATTGAAATAATAAATTTTAGAATCACGCAAATAAGAATCACTTTGCATAAGTATTAGATCACATGAATATGAATCGCAATGCATAATTTTAAATCACATATTAATGCGACAATGTATGTTTGATGATACAAACACTTTAACACAAATCACAATATTGGATTTAAAACACACATGAAAATGAATCCAGGGATTGGACTTTAAACTAGTGAAAACACAAATCGCAATATTAGTTTTAAAAAGATGCAAATACAAATCGTGATATTAGATTTTTAAATCAGGAGAACAGGAATAGCGATGCACTATTTTGAATTGCGAATTTTAAATAATTCTGCGATATTCGTCTAAAAATTGCTTCTCCTGCTTCTTGTTTTTAGACCGGGAAAGGTGGTGCAAAAAACTCGGAATTACGTACAATAACCCTGAAATATAAATTTCATGAAAATTCTGGCATAATGTAATAAATATTTTACACATAGCATGGTTGCCACAGAAAAAAATTAACAAAATAGTTGCTTTTAGAAGCCTAAGGAATGAAAATAGTTGCCTAAATAAGAACAAAAATTTATCAAAAATATGACCAAAATTTTATTGAATGACTTAACTGTCATATACTATAATCTATTTTAAAAAAAGTTTTATACAATTAAGTTTTGTACACAACATAAAATGCACTTAGATGAAAGGTGAAAACAGTAAAAAATTATAGCTTAAGTAAAAACAGAAAGAAAAAAACAATTTATAAAAATAACAAGGCTGGCAAGGTTTAGGACAGAATGGATTAATTCACCATTTAAAAAGTCCTGTAGAAAATCCCTTTGTTCAAAACCCTTTTATTCAAATTATGTCACAATTTTGAAATAATATTGAGAAGAAAAAATATATTAATTTTGGAACGCAAAACAAAATGAAGAAAAGTTTTTGCTTGATTAAAAAAGATTATTATTTTTAACATTGCATTCTTTAAACTTATGCAAAAATATAATTTATCAGTATTAAAAGCATATTTAAGGGATAAAGTATTCACTTTTGTTGTTCATTGAATTGTTGAAGCTTTAAAAGTTATAAATCTCTACCTGTTACATTATATTTTCCTTTAATAAGCAAATTATATTAAAAGTATCAAATAGTTATTCTGTATGTAATTATTATGTGTAGAATGGTTACACAAATAGAATTTTTACCTTTGACCTATGTTCAAGGTTTTAGACACTTTAAGACAGTAAAACCCAGGTGTCCTGTCCAAAACCTCAACTCTGTATTTTACACATAGGGAATTTTAGGGATTTTCAGAGTCTTCAAAATAGAAAAACTACAATATTTTCTAGTTATAATTGACATTAAACATACTTCAGAGCTCATTCTAGGCAGGGTAAACAGGGCGCAGCACCCTGCTGCCCTTTTAGTCAAAAGAATTCACCCTGTTGCCCCTGAAGTAAATTAGTGCCCTGATGTAATAGACTCCATACCCTTTTTGCCCTTTCTTTCCTCAACCCTTCTTTACTTTTTCCCCAAACTCTACAATGGATTTCATGAACTGTTATTTTTAACTCTAGTTTGCCATTTCTGTCAATACATAGTTTAATATGGGAAAGGAAAAATAGCCGTTACAACCCATTGTTGCACTTGTCTTTGAAAGTTTGCAGTTACTTCCACTATCATTAAATCATAATTATTATCAATCATTTTAATTATTTAATCATAACTACAGACACTTAAAAGCATACATTTATCATTTTATTAATATATGCATGCATAATAATGCATAAATTACTAAGCTAATTAGCTCATTAACTCGATATATATGTTAATTTATCAATGAAAATAAGTAATTAATGATTGCTTTGCTACTTTCAGTTAAGTAAAAAAAAAATTCTTTTACTAATTGACAATGTTTTTTAATAGAACGTGTAAAGAATCCGTGTAGAACGTGAAATTATTGCCTTTTTAGAATAATAATGCCCTTTTTTTAAACTTTTGCACCCTGACCTTTTTTCTGGCTAGAATGAGCTCTGCATACTTGAGATGTTATGTATTCTGCTTACTCATAATTTCGAATATTAATAGGCATTTTATTTATCAAATATAGTTAAAACATTTTTTAAATTAATTTAAAAAGAGAAAGTTCTGAATAAAAATAAACTAAACATTTTAGAAAAAAAAAAGAAGTTTTAAATTGGTTTCTATAAATGAGGCCTGCTTCATTATGTAATACATATACTTATTTAAATATTTAAGAAAGCAATAATCTATTTTAATAGGGATTTTTTTTTAGGAAACTTACTCTCAATTTTAGAGAATTTCCTAAAATGTACAAAAACCAGGAGAATTTTTATTAAACCAGAAGACCAGAAAGTAGCAAAATTCAGTAGAGTTGGCAGCTATGCAACATGGATAGGGAAAAAATCGAGTAGATTGTACAAAATATTATAAATTTCATAATAATTGTTACATAATGTACTATATATTTTACACACAGGGAATTTTAGGGATTTTTATAGTCATCAACACTGCAATATTTTCTAGTCATGATTGACATTAAACATACTTTTAAAATGTTATGTATTATGTTAACTCATAATTTAAAATAGTAAAAGGCATTTAATTCATCAAAGACAGTTAAAAGATTTTCTTAATTAATTTAAAAAGAGAGTCGGAATAAAAATAAACTGAACATTTTAGAACAAAAAGAAGTTTTAAATTGATTTCTATAAATGAGGCCTGCTTCATTATGTATTACTAATACTTATTTAAATATTTAAGCAAGCAATAATCTATGTTAATGGGGAATTTTTTTAGGAAACTAACTCTCAATTTCAGAGAACTTTCTAAGATGTATAAAAACAAGATGAGAATTTTAATTAAGCTTGTAAACCAGATGAAAGTGACAAAATCCAGTAGAGTTGGCAGCTATGGATATAATGTGAACTCGTCCTAAAAACTCTTGTTTTGAACTACACTTACTTGTCAAGTTTTAACACAGGGTTATCACCCTTTTAACAAAGCAAAAATTAAGCACTTAAAAGGACCTTTTTTTTGCAAAAATTAAAGACTTTTGACAAGTAAAGGACTTTAAAAATAGCATGATTGTTGATCATCGAATATACATATACCACCAGTGACAGGGCCAATTATTTACCTTTCTTGAAGGAAAAAAAATCAATCAATAACAAAAAACAATTTTATTATAATGTAAGCATTGATATAATTGTATTAATTAACAGGGATCGCTAAAGAAGTACCAGGCAATTTTTGCAAACCTTTGTCGTTTTTTGTTTAAAAAATTTTTTTAGGGTAAAGGTTAATATCATCTATGAAACTAATCCGTATTACGTTTTTAACGATTTTATTGAAATTGAGTTGCAAAGTTAAGAGCAGAAATTAAGATTATCAATTTTTTTCATGTATATTTAAAAAAAAAGAGTAAATAAATAAATTTGGCAAAAACATAGAAAAAATTATTAAAAGTTTTTATATTTTGCTACTAGACCTGCATCATATATTCAGTTGTGGGCCAATCTTGCTAAACATTCAGTTACGTCAAAAAATTCTTTCTTTTTCTATTAATGAATGAATGTGTATATACCTTATATATTTCATTTATAAGGGTATATATTAAAAGAATTAAAATACAAACAAGTTGAATTAAAAGTTGTGCATGAAAATAAGTTTTCCTGACTCTGTCGTGTTAAATTAAGTCCTATTCAAGTAAAATCAGGCCATATTAATATTATTAATGCACATTTAATCATTCCACTTTTTTTTTCATTACGCTTAACTTAACATATAATTTTAAAATCATTGCAATATTTTTATGGAATAAAAAAGCTATTATGTTTGAGAAGAATTATAATTTTCAAATCAATATGTTTTTTATTAGTTCTCGGTGAAATATATAAATAAAAGCGTTTCAACGATTTTCCAAAGGTATATACACATTCCTAGGGCCAGAAAATTGACAAATACTGATAAATTATTTAATTTCTCTTCACTTACAGATATTTAATAATAATACGTCTTCATCACCTTCCATTATTCTTAATATTATTTTCTATTATTATTATGATAGGACATTTTATTTTTATCGAAAATTAACAGTTTAAAACTGAAAGTAGTATTCTTTCATTATAAAAAAATCCTGTAACATCACCTTATCAGGCGACGCCTTGCAAAAAAAATATGGAAATATTTTATGAAAAACGTATTGAAAACGATATGTAACTTAACAATTTTGAAATTATTAATAAACAGCAAATGTTTACTTTCATGATGAATTTTGCACAAAATTATTTTCAGCAAAACCTGTTATTAGAGATTAACTTTACATAAATGCTACTAAACAATCTGACAAAAAACATGAACTAATTTTAAAGCAACCAAAAATTGAATAAAAATTAAAAACAGTATATTAAGTTGCAATGTTAACTGAATAAAATGATTATTTAAATCTAAGGTTCTTCTAATTGAGGAGATTTAAATTTTTACATAACCATCTGCTTATCCACAAGAAATAAAAATAATAGCGTAACAATCTAAGACTTAAAAAAAAAAAAAAAAAAAAAAAAAAAAAAAAAAAAAAAAAAANTAAGGTTCTTCTAATTTTTACATAACCATCTGCTTATCCACAAGAAATAAAAATAATAGCGTAACAATCTAAGACTTCAAAAAAAAAAAAAAAAATTTGCAATGCAACATAAGAACTTATAGTTACAAAATATTTAGCTATCTTATTAGAAGTAAACCATGCTTTCTTATTTAGCACACAGGAAAAAATTTTTTTAAGTGTTTTTGAAAAAAACTTGGTTTTTATTAAAAAGCCAGTAAACACCAGATTTTTGATGAAAAACTTAGGTAGGTTGGGATATTTCACTCTGTATATTACAGATCTTTTTAATTTTTAGTACAATCATGAATTTTAAAAAAATGATACTCCTTTCTATAAATATACAGTTACTTATTACACATTGAAATATTAGGCAAATTCATTTAATAATAATGAAATATTAGGCATTCCCTTTGTCCACACTATTCTTTTCCTTTAGAATGCTTCCCTCTCCTCATAGAGTATACTAATGAAAGAACCAATATATTATTGAAAGGACGTGTTCTCTTTCTCTTGCCTCCCCCCACACATTCCTTTTTGTCTTTCTAAAATGTTTTACCCTCAATGCATGGTCTAGGTGATAAAAGCACGGCTTTTTGTTTCAAAAAATAGAACTGAAAAACTATTCTTATCAACTGTAGTGATGCTGAAAAACTAAGGACTTTTAAAAATCTTGTACCAAAATTAAGTACTTTTAAGGGCCCTTATTTTCCAAAATAGAAATTGAGTAGTTTTTAAGGACTGTGGGAACCCTGTAACATTCATATTGCATAAGCAATATGAATGTTAATGTTTCTACAATATTGTCTACTAGTTTGTTTTTTTTAATTACACTCTAATTCTTATAAAGTTACTTTTTGATTATAAAAAAGATAATGAAAAGTACGACCATTTCCAATACTCTTTATGACTGCTTTTGGATGTTTAAAACTATTTTTAATCAGTGCCTCAGTCTAAATCAGTTGAAATTACAAGCTTGATTGATGTGTATTTATAAAGACTGAAAATCAGTATAATAAAAATTATAAATCGAACAAATGAATATATAGTACATCGAATAAGTAACTTCATACAAAATACTTTTATAACATAGTGAATAATGAAATGATATTTTGACTACAGTTGAACCTCGTTAACGCGAAGTCAGAGGGGGGACTATCATATTTATTTCATGTAAAGCGAGTTTTGTTTCATCCTATACATCATGAAAACAATTTAATCCGTATTTTGAATACATGTTTTGTACTATATTAATGTATGCGAAGACAGGGGTCTGTCTAGGTTTTTTTAAGAGGTACCTGCTTTGTAAAAATTAAAAATTCTATTAAAAGTTCAACACGACGGGTTAGGCTTACCACACCGCACTAACGGACCAAACATGTGCTACCTATTTGTAGAAGAGCTATTTTTACTCGCAAAAGCTTTTTTTTCTTCTTTCCATAGATTGCAATGAGAACGGGTTTTGCATGGTACTAGCGCTTTTACTTCCATTTCAATTAAGGAATTTAGTAGCTGACGCCCCTTTTCTCCCATGGCTTTTCGGAATCCCGGTATTTTTAACACCTTTTTTTACAAATCGTGTGAGAGGTGAATTCTTCTACTATGTCATAAAGGTAATCTGCAGGAAAAGTTCCATTGCAAATCAAAATGCGTAATTAACCCGAAGTTTATCGTTTTTAGGTGGATACAAAGACATTTTTAAAAAGCGGGGGGNAATCTTGAACTTGCTTTTTTAAAAGTATTTTGGGAAACTACTGTTTTTCTTATGTTGATTTTGCGAAGGTACGGCTAAACAGTAGTAAATCTGTCCTGGACAGACCCCTGAAAGAATACTATTATGAGCCAAACAAATTGAAATAAGCTTAAAAGTTTTAACTACTTTATTAAACTGCAACATTTATTGAAAAGAAATCCAATGCTTATTTTAACAATTTTATTTATTTGCCCATCAGCTACTTTCAACAAAGGAAGAAAATAGAATTAGCATTCCTCAAAATGAATAATTGAGATTTTATTCACATGCTTATTATCTGCGCTGAATCCAGTTTCCTTTCAAATTAAAGCGATAATCAGCTAGAAAATTTCATGTAAAATACAACAATAATTGATTGCTGACTCACGGTAACAAACATGCGTTTAATGTAAAGCAATATTTCAGGTGAAGCGGTTTCGTGTTAATGAGGTTCGACTGTATAACTTTGGTGCAAATTATAAAATACGAAACAATATGAAAAGTCAAATTATAAAATGGAAACACAAAAATATTTTAAATAATGTCTTACTTATTTATTTTTGGTGCTTTTAAATGAAGTTCTTCTAACTTTTTGTCTAAAATCTGCAACAAAAAAAAAAGACATGTGTTAAAAATTATATGAAATAGTACGGAAATTGTAATTAAACATTTAGATATGATAAGTTTCTTCAAAAAGAAATCGCTTCGGGTAGAACTAGGTTTCTTCAAAACCAGTGCAGGGTGCATAGCCAATTTTTCAACTAAAAATAAGCACATTTTCAGTACTTTTTAAACACTCAAAAGATATTTTTATTAAGTCTCCAAAAAAATTCACAATTAGGATCTGTGCAGCAATATAAAATTATTTTTTTCTACTTATTAAAGTTCTTAATTAATAAACATAAATCAATAAAATTCAAAAACTTTATATAATCATGATCAGGGTTACAACTCAAATCTGGAAGGAAAAAAAATTCCATGTGTTTTCCCTCTACTCATTACACACAATGTATTCAAAGGAAACAACAATTATGATGCTCTTGTGTGAGCTATATTGGGTAAACTATATTTATTAGCTTTAGTTGCTGGAAAAATTTAGAGAAAAAAAAAAAAGGAACAGCTGAATATACTTAAATAATGCTATAGTAAACGTTAGTTTAGTATAGGTGAAATATAATTAAATATAGCATAGATTACGCTTTGAGTGGTCACCATTTTTTAAAAGACAAAAATAAGAAACAAAATTCCCTGTATTTTCCCAGTTATTTAGGGTGATTTTCCAATTCCCTGTATTTTCCAAATTTTTCCTGTTCTCCTTGTGGAGTGCAAACCCTGATGATAAAATAACTAGTTTCCGATAAATATCGCAAATCATGCACATTTAGCAATTTATGACGACAAAGGACACAAGAGTAAAAATCTCTTTTTAAAAGACAGAAAATTAAGCACTTTATAGAAATCATGAATAAAAAAAAAGCATCTTTAAGGGCTTTTAAAAAATATAAATGAAAAATAAGCCCCTTTAAGCACTTTTTAAAGATGCTACACACCCTGCAATGGATGGTGTTTTCAATATAAAAGTAAACAACAACAATCTTGACCTTCTCTACTTCTGGTTAGAAAGTATACGGCTGCTTACTAAAACTTATTCCACTAAGTGATATTTTCAAACAGATAATTTTGTTTTCAATAAAAGAAATAAAATTATATCATTGTTGAGCTCAAATCTGCTGGTATTTTATAAGATATAAAGAATTTGCTTTTTTTGGCAACCCCAATTTGGTCTCCCAATCCAATTTATGACTGTTTGTTTGGTTTTCTCTTCACCGTCATATGTTAGTGTTAGAGTATTCTTCACACAGGAAGATTAAGTTCATTTTAAAAATTATCATTTACGTTTAAATTTTGAAGTTGGTACATTGTTTACAAGGTAAGAAGTGTTTTGTAAAATAACAAATATGTTTTTCAAATGACAATTTTTACGTCTTCAAATGACGGTTCTTCTTTTAAACACAAATAATCAGTAAGGTAACAAATACACCATTTCACAATACAAATACATCACATTCATATAACAAATATACCATTCCCACCATTTTAAAAAAAATGCTTTTTTCTTTCCTCATAAGATTTTTCTTTCTTTTTTGAAAGATGTTTACCTTACCATCATTTTGGAAATAATCATTAGTGTATTACAAATCTTAATAATNTTTTTGAAAGATGTTTACCTTACCATCATTTTGGAAATAATCATTAGTGTATTACTTCATCGCTTTTTAAGATTACTTCCAAATACTTTTTTTTTTTTCAGTTGGGTTTAACAATAAAAAAACGGCTTTTTGTAGCGATTCAGAATACCAGAAAAATCAGTTATCCTGAATAGCGATGGTCCCGATCGTTCCGAATAATCATTTCCCTATTGCAGGGAAGGCGAACCAATGGCACGTGATACAATATTTTGGGCACGCCACCGATCACAAAGTTTACTATGAAGCATATTAAAAATTTAATTAAAATTCATGAAAAACAAACAAAAAAAAAAACAATTATTAACAAAAGAATTAACAATCAATGCCAAAAAAAAAAACAATTTATAACCATACATAACAAGCTAACAATAAATGACCAGCAAAAAAAATTAACAGTCCTGCTAAAGCTGGCATCTTACAACCTAATATAAGTTATTTGCCATTGAATCTGCAATAACAGAAGTCACACTGATGTTACTTTAAGTTGAATTACGCATATAACTGAGACATTGCAAAATGTATTTTTTTTCATAGTAAATCAAGAGTCTTGAGTTACTATAAGTTAAATATAGTTAAAAAGTCTTGAGATACTATTTTGTATTATTATTTTGCCAATAATCACGAAGTCAAAATTACTTGACGGCACTTCTATGACCTCATTAAACAATATTTTAGAAAAAATGGCACGTTGGTCTTTAAAGGTTCGCCACCCCTGCCCTATTGTATATATATGTGTACATATATATTCCTTATGTAATGATTAAACAATTCATTTTGATTTGGCATCAGAAACAAATAAATCAAAAACAAATAAATCAAAAACAAAATTTCAAACAATATAATCTTTAAAATTCATGCAAATATTACAAGACAGTATTAAGATAAGCAATTTGTGTAACATATACAACGGAACCTAACAAATTTATATATAATGAATTTCTGCATCTTATAAATATAAATTACTCAAAGATCAGCAATTGTTACGTGTGGATATTTCCATATCTTGATCTGTGACAGAATAATTGCCAAGTCTTGGCAACTGACGGACAGCAGCCTGCGAAAACTATTAAAAAAAAACATTGCAGAAAGGTAATAACTCAATATGATACTTGTTACCAACTCTATTATGATACGGAAATGTCCATGTTACTATGATCTTAACTTCAGAAAACAAGACTATTAAAAATAGTTCTAAAAAAATTGTCAATGGTACAAATTAAAACAAAAATTATGAAACATCTTTATCAGGGATATTTTTCAATTTAAAAATGGAAAATTAATATGTGCTTAGGTGCATAAATATAACCACAGCTGCCAACGTGAAAAGGATAAAATCCAGTAGATTTTAAAAACATATATTTCATGATTATTGTTGCATATTATACTACATATTTTATACATAGGGAATTTTAGGGATTTTTATAGTAATCAAAATAGAAAAACTGTAGTATTTTCCAGTTATGATTGACATTAAACATACTTGAAATGTTATGTTTAGTAATAATTTCGAATATTAACAGGCATTCAATTCTTTAAGGATAGTTAAAAGAATTTTTTAATTAATTGAAAAAGAGAGTTCTGGATAAAGAAAAACTGAACATTTTAGAACAAATAAAAAAAGTTATGAATTAATTTCTATAAATGTGGTTCACTTCATTATGTATTAGTAATACTTATTCAAATATTCAAGCAATAATCTGTACAAAAATTCTACTTCAATAGGTATTTTTTCAGAAAACTCATTCAATTTTAAAGGAATTTTCTAAAATGCATAAAATTCAGAAGAATTTTAATTTAAGAAATAGACCAGGAGACTGGCAAAATCCAGTAGAGTTAGCAGCTATGTACTTATTATAAAAATAGTTCTAAAAAAATTGTCAATGGTACAAAATTAAAAAACCATATATATCTTTATCAGGAATACTTTTCAATTTAAACTTGAAAAATCGCCCTATCGCTTTGATTATGGGCCTATAATTGTAACTTAATAATAATGGCAAACCAAATACATTAAGAGATTTTGCCATTCTTCGCAAAAGAAAGAGTAGGCAATAATCGTCTTTCGAAAGGTGAGTGTAACAATATTTTATAAGCACGCATTATTTGATAAAATGTTACCAATTAACTGATATCGCTAATCAAGACTTCGTCAGAAAGAAACCAATACCGCTGCGTAGACTATTCATCAGACATTAGCAGTTGAGAAAAATTACCTTTTGGCAATAGGCTACTTTTAAATCTGATCTTTAATTGCGTCGAATAAGAAATACTAAGTTCCGATCACTTATCTTTAATACGATAAATAATAAGATAAGTTCAACACTTATCACAGAGGTTTATTAAAAGAGTGGAGCAGATTTAATATTGTAATTCCAAGAGAGAGAAGTCACAAGAAAATACTCAAGCAGAACAAGGTACCAACATGCGGAAATGAGTTTAAATCATTTCCGCATGTAGACAAGAGTGTTTACCCCATTTTCAATCATATCTTCCCAACTGTCACAGACATCATCAGCTACGTCTTGTGCCATTTCAAACAAACCTCGTGGCCAAAACAAAATTAGTGAAAATTAAGATAATTCATTAATGATATAAGAAAATTAATACAATAACCCCCATTGTTTTTAGAAAAAAAATTAAAAATGCAAACTATAATAAAATTTTCTATATTTAATACATAATGCAGAATATAAAAATAATTAATAAACACGAATGCAGAGTAGAGTTTAGCCGAGTACTTCCTTCTATTCATTTTTATTTATGACTCCTTTGACTGAAGAAGCATTCTCACTGTTTCGCTATTTTTGGGAAAAGGTTGTGAGCAATCCTGATCAAGGTTGTTATTTAACGATCGTATGGTAAAAATGTTTATTTTGAAAACTTTATTTGCATTTTTTTAAACATTTTTTCATAAGTTTGATGATATTTCGAGTCATTTCTTACTGTATTCTTCTCTTTTGAGTGAATAGTTTGTCCTTTTTGAAACATTTTCCTGGGAAACAGCATTTTTTAAATTTAAAATATATTAAATTAGCTAGAGAAACGAAAGGTATAATAGCAGAGGAAAGCAAGTAAGTGACTGAAAAAGAAGTTAATATTTGAGTTTGGCACACAAGTGTTGTCTCAATTTCAAGCACGGAGATTCTTTTTATATTCCTGCGCTGAAATGAATTCTGCTTCCGAGGAGGTGGCGCCAAGTGCCAACTTCTGGTGAACAAACTATACGTGATTTGTAAGATTTTTTTTTCTTTTTATTTTGCTGGAAAACGTGTTACACCAAGCAAAGTTCTCATGTTTCCTCTGTGGTGATTGGACATGCGTCAATCATACGTAATGAAATTGGCTCTTGAGTGGTATGAGTCTCCCTCGTTTTATTGGAATTACATACATTTGCAGACTTGTGTGCTCAATTTAAGCTTATAAACCTTTGTTAAATAGAAGAAAATGGTTGCACGATACAGCCCAGAAAGTATGTATCCTTACGACGACCTCTTGTCGGAATTTTTTTTTATTGTCACGAAAATGTTAGCCCTAAAAAACCTTTTTTTTCAAGAAAGTGAAAATACTGCAATTTCAAGCATTTCTTCCTAAAAAAATAAAAAATGATTTTCAAAGCTTATGATATTACAGGGTTTACTATCAAAAATGATATTGAACCCTGTGAAGGTTTTCACATAGTCCCGTTGAAGCCTTGGACCTTCCTTAAGTCCCCGATTGGATTTAAAAAGTAAGTAAAATATTTCTTATCGAATAGCTTCTTATACTGGAAAGTGCGTGTTCCTGAAAAATGGACACAGATAAAAAAAGAAAATGGATACGGCATTTGTTTATAATTTTCAAACTCCTCTTATTAAAACTGTTTTTTTCTTTCCTTCAAACGAAAAAACTATTGAATACAAATAAATTCGTAATGTGATATCGTCCATTTTCCTGAATCACCTAGTACACTTTTTTTTGTAAGGACACATTTTCCAATAGAACACCGAAGTCAATAAGCGGCTGGCTTCAGCACTGGCTGCGGTCAGTAAGAAGGGTAGGTGACCACTTTGATCAGCATACGTACGTATGCTGATCAAAGTACGTATGCTTAAACTGTTCGACCGTAAAGTGTTCGACTTCACTCTCAGGTCGTGGGCTATCTTCTCTGCAGATGATCAAATTTGCGATGGCATGTATTAGTATCATCCTCGGGGATGTTTCCCTGACCGTCGCCCATTGTGCAGCTCTAGAGCGACGTAAATAAAACACCTACTTACCTCAATAAAATATTTATACATTTTTCCCCCCTTTAATTCAAGAACATTTCAGTTAATTTATTTTCAAATGTTCTTCTATGTTACATGAAGTGATAAAAGCCATCACTCTTCCCCCATCCTTATAGATTTTTTTCTATAAACTATTTTTTGATGAAAAGGACATTTTTTTATTTTGAAAAGTATCAGTTTTGAATATTTAAAATAATGTAATTTTATGCAAATATATGACTAAATTGACGGATAAAAGGAATTGTGTCTGAAACACTGATGCTTACATAAAAATGATCATTATTGCGGTCAACAGGTCTAAATATAGTTTGTCTACAGTAAGAACTCCCCGGCCACAAAGTCTGAGGCCGTCTACTTCTATGGAAACAAGAAGGGTGCATTTCAGGGAGGGGAGCTTCTTTTCACTCTAGGGCGAACACAATAGACAGTAGAAAAAGATTCGCTTTAGTTCGCCGACCTGAGTCAAAACCTGCCCCGCATCCCTACTTGAAATATTTATACCTCGTTACCATAGTAAACGACTCGGGTACAGACGACTGGCAAGGGATGTTCTTGCTCTATACAACTACACAGGGGGGTGAAGCTTTTCAATGAAATGGGTTGTTGTAGTAGGCTATTAAGATGATTGTTCTTGTTTTCCAGTGGTGCCATCTATGGACAAGAATTTGACTACTGCCACACCCATTTATAGGGCAAACCCACTCATGCAGCCATTCATTCATCGGCAGATCATGATTTCGACCTGAACAAGAGAATGATCCCTCTCCAATTCAGTACCCCTAGAGGTATAATTTGTTATGGTCTACAGTAAGAACTCCCCCCCCCGATATAGAGGACCTTGTGTCCCGACACATTTAGCGTGCACCAGTCACACGTGGAGTGAGCATTTGACCAACAGGATTCAAACCCCCGTTCTCACGAACGTGAGTTCAGCGCCCTGCCAATCAACTATCCCAGTCCCATTCAATTGGGTTGTGTACTCCTAATTAATTACAATAATTTATTTTCTTCTCTTCATATTTTTTTTAAATTCCCTTAAAAATAAACTCAAAACTAAATAGCTAATTACGATAATTAAATTTTAAAAAAAACATGAATAAACAAATTCGAAAGGTATAAATTATTTCGTCAAATGATTAAAGTTAGTAATTAAAACATCTTTCAATGCACATCAGACATAACCCGTTTAAAAGTTGCTCTCTCAGAATTGTTCTGAACTCTTTCAATTTTATTACTTTATTTAACTGATTATAAATACTAAACGGAGTGAGTGGTAGTCAATCATTTTTAGAGACTGTATGACTTAAGAGAGTTGAGTATCCTGAAAACTTCATTTTAACGTAGAAAGATTGATTTCGGTTGTAAGATAAACTATACATGATAATCTATCACTATTTATAGAAAAAAAAATGCACAATTTTTACATGAGAATATATATTTATTTTAAAAATTACATAATGCAAAATTGTTTATTATTAGCTTTTTTTTAATACAATTTATTAAAAGTAAGATTCTCCAGGGACCCCTGAGTGCTTCCCAGAAAACATTTAACCTTACCACAACCTTGTTTCGGAATTTTCTTTATATTGTCTCGAAAATGTTTGTACTAAAAACCTTTTTTCCAATAAAGCAAAAATAGTGCAGCTTCAAATCTTGCATCCCAAAAGGATTATAAATTATTTTTTAAAGCTTTTTTTTTAAAAAAAGTATTCTCACTTTGGGTCCATAACGACGTTTTAGCTGGTATCACCCTAGCGATAAGATAAAATTGCATTGTTCATTCAAATTTCAAGACAAGGTGGATTTTAGCTGAGCTTACAAGACGTTGCGAAAAGAAACCTTGTAATGACCTACATTTAAGATTATTTTCACCTTGAGACTATAGCTTTATGAAAGGATTTTTTCACGCTTGAAATCTCTAAGTCAACCTCGATGTAAGGTTTATATTTAGAAGATTGTTTTCCAAGGCTTTGGATGAGGGTATTGAGCGTTGAATAGAGCAAATGGCCACAGACCTTGCTTTAAGGTTAGAAGGTTTACACGTCAACCGCATTCAAAACGTTTTTAGGTTTACATTAAAAGGTTTTTGGTGAGTGGAAATAAACCTTATTTTGCTATCTGGGTTGAGGCCCCAGGGTACTGTCTACGCGTCAAGACGGTACTGTTAAAAATACTTCATGAAATAAATATATTATTTAAGCAATAATAAACTGTATAAGTACTTCACGCTCTTAACCACACATGTTATTATATGTCAAATTATATATATTTTTTTTTTAATTTTCACATAAAAATCATTGACTCTTTAGAGTTTCATTTCTGAAAATTCTTTTGGAATTATATATTAAGATCTAGACTTTACTTCATTCATTATTTTTTCTTCCTGAAATGTTTATTAAAATATCTTACAAAAACGAGGCAAGTTGATTTTTAAAAATTTTTATTTTAAACTTTATAAATGAAATCCTTACGTTTACAATATTAATATCTCACATATTTCATTAATGAATGCAAATAACTATAATTATGAATGCAAATAATATGGTACATAAATATTAATTTTCTTTTTTTTTTTATCAACACAACGTTTCCTATTTTTTACTACTAAAAATATTCCAAAAACAGAAAATCACCTTCCCCCCCCCCGAAAAAAAAGGATAAGGATATTGAAAAAATTTATTCTACCAAATTTTGCCTTATTTAATCTAAAATTATAGTTTCTTTAAGAAATTTTAGTTTCAGTACTTTAAAATGTTTCAGTCTTAAAAATACATTTGTTTTTTATTCCAATTTTTTAACTTCATTTCATACTCTTTCATTCAAATAATAACAACAATAAAAAACGTTGCAAAACAGAAATGACCGAGTATTTGTTTGCGTGCATTATGTTTAATTATTCCAATAATAGATGGCTGCACCATTTATTTAAAATCAAAAATAATGCTTTCTGTTGAGTGGAGACGTATATTGTCAACAGATGGCACTGAGATGCATAGAAATCTTTGCCTGGAGAATCTGTAAAGAAAATCAGTTATCAAAGTTTGAAGGATTGTGGGAATGTTTTTCTCTCTCTGTCCCTTCTGTAGACTCTCGCACATTTTGCATCGAAGATGTTTCTTTTCATAGAATTTGTTTTCAACTTTTTGTTATTAATTTCATTAATAAAAGTAATTATTCTTTTTCTTTCTTAAACTTTTATTATTAATGTGTAGGGTTCACACTAGCAATGAAAATTTAGTGATCCAATAGGTATTAATTTAGTGGTCTAAAAACTTAACATGGCAGACACAGTGACAGCGGAAGACGTTGTCACACCCGGAATGGTATTACCACCTAGGTATTCATTTAGCTCAGAAACCTTACGAAAACCTTTACTCGGAATTGTCTTTTTTGTGTCACGAAAATGTTTGCTATAAAAACCCTTTTATCAATAAAGCAAAAATAATGCATTCTCAAACCTCTCATCCTAAAGGGATTAAAAATTATTTTTAAACCTTT